CTTGACATTGCTTTTGGAGAGCAGGACAAGGCTGGACCCAGGAGAAGCTCACATACTGCTTGTGACAAAAGTTACCATCTAAGACCTTCTTAATTTAATTATCCTTGCTAATTTGGTGCTAAACCCAATTAAAAGACTGAAAGTGTGAGTCTAAACAGTCTACATTTTGATACCAAGGGGCAAAATTCCAGACATCCTTGTTAAGTGACAGCTCTCAGTCCTGACTTCCTCTTAGGGGAGAGTAGAGGCCATCAGTGGATTTCACACACTACCAAAGATGAAAAAGGCTGCCTCTATTAGAACACACTGATATACTCTTTTTTGAAACCATCTTACGCTTACTGAAGAACAGTTTGGAACTGTGTGAGAAAAATCACCAAACTATTTGTATCCTTTGACCCACTACTGGAATTAAACTCCAAGGAGAAAAATCGATAGTGTAAAAAAAATCCATATACATACACACATACGCATACACATATGTGCATATACATATGCACACACATATACACACACACACATATGTATGCAATATGCTCAAAGTAGGATTCTTTGTGGAAGCAAAAAACCAGGAATAAATTGGATACTCATCAATCAGGGAGCAGCTGAACAAATTGTGTTATATAAATGTAATGGAATATTATTGTGGCATATAAAGCAATGAATACGAGGAATTCAGGGAAACAGGTGAAGACTTGTGTGAGGTGATGAAAAGTGAAGAAAGCAGAGCCAAGAAAACAACATCCATGTCTGTAATGATAGAAATAGTCATATTTAAAGTCAATCGCTTTCTGATGAATGTAGTGAAGAATCCCAGTCCTGTAAACCTGAATGAAATGAACATCAGTCTTCTCCATATATAGAAAGATGGGGAACTGCAGATGTGGAATAGGTAATGCACTGCCAGATAAAGTCACTGGTACTTAGTTTTGCTTAGCCTTTAAAATCTAATTATGAAAGAGGTCGTGGGGGAGGGGAGGAAGGTTAAGAGAAAGGGTTCAGTGAGAGGGCTACCGGGAAATGGTTGTGGTATAAAAATTAAAGGCTACAAGTCAAATGGAAAATAACAGCAGAACACACCGAAGGCCTATTTGGGGTCTTTGGATCTCACTAATTGATCCGTTCTTCTAATTCACACATGCACTTTTAGACAATTTGGAAGTCTCTTGATGTCATGGCAGACTCACATTGTGCTCAGAACAGGAAGGGAAGAATGGTAATAGAATGAGTTCCAGATTTGGAGCCAAGATACCTAGGATCAAATGCTGGCTCTGCCACATCTGCTTCTGCATTTGATCTATTTTGATAGGTTGTTTTAGCCGAAGTATATTTTATACATATACATATACATACATACAAATATATATATATATATATATATATATATATATATATATATATATATATATAAATGCAATGTGATCAATAAGAATATGTTGAATATTTTTGCTTTCTCAGTGGTTTCTAAGGTTTTTTTTAAATTTCTTAAGGACACATGGTTAATTTTTATGAATGTGCTATATAGCACTTAGCAATAGGTAGATTCTTTATTCCCATTCAATAATTGCCAGAAAGCTATTGTATCTAACTTTTTAAAAAAATTCTATTCAAGTCCTTAATTTATGTTTTGCTCATCTTTTTTGTTAAATCTTCCCAATTCTGAAAGTGATACATAGTTCCCAGCTAAAGTTTTGATATCTAATTTATTTTTCTCTGCAATTTAATTAACTTTTCCTGTAAGTACTTAGATGCAATGCTATTTGGTGTTTATAGATTGTTATAGATATTATTTCATTTTCTATGGTGCCTTTAATTAGAATGTTGTTTTAATGTTTAGCTCTTATAATTTTATTTGTACTGTTGCTTTGACTGAGATTCTTTAAAATTTTCTTCAAATAAAAGTTCTTCCCTAACCTCTCATTTGAACTCTGTCTGAATTTTTGTGTTTCTTATAAACAACATATTTTTGGATTCAGCTTTCTGATACATTCTATTACCCTCATGTTTGTGATTATGGTGGTTAATTATTTCCTTCCATCATAATTCTCTTTTACTTTTTTTCCTCTTCTCTTTGTCTTCCACCCCTCCCCCCCTTTACAAAGAAGAGAAGGCATAGAAGAGAAGGAATGTTATTAACATTTTTTGTTGTTGTTGTTGTTCGGTCATTTCAGTTGTGTCTGACTCTTCAAATCAAACGTAAGTGCTATATGTTGCTGTTTATTGTTGAGTCATTTCGGTCATGTCTGAATCTCCATGACCCCATTTAGGGTTTTCTTGGGAAAGATACTAGAGTGCTTTGCCATTTTCTTCTCCAGCTCATTTTACAGATGAAGAACTGAGGTAATCAGGGTTAAGTGACTTGCCCAGGTCACACAGCTAGTACATATCTGACATCAGATTTGAACTCAGGAAGATGAGTCTGCCTGACTCCAGGTCCAACACTCCATCCACTGTGATATTATCCCTTCAAAGTTTCTCTTGACTCCTATATATGCATTTAAAAGTTTCTATTCAGTTACGATCTTTTTATTGGGAATGTTTAAAAGTACATTATTCTATTAAGAGTCTATTCCATCCCCCCCTACCCCCAGGCTTATACTCAGTTTCACAGGGTGAATTATTTTTTATTGTAAGCCCTTAATTTTTGCTTTTTGGAATACCATGTCCCAAGATTTTCTTTCCTTTATAGTGAGAGGCAGTATGGTATGGTAGCTAAAGTGCTGACCTTGAAGCTATAAAGATCTGGGTTTGAGTTCTGCTTCTGAAGCAGATTGGCTGCATGATCCTGGGCAAGTAACTTAACCCCTCCATGCTCTAGACAACTCTCTAAGACTATAAATTATAGAGTAGATATCCACCTGCATTGGTAGAGGGAGCCTTCTTATTTGGGAATTCCTGTACCAATGAAATTACAGGTTCAGGCCCTATCCTCATCTCTCTTTAATAGTAGTTGCTGACAAGTCTTGTGTGTCAGAGCATTGTCACACTTATGAACTGTTTACCTGAACTCATGCTGGCATCCTTGGCCAAATCCTTTTCCCAGGCCTCTGGCTGAAGGCATTTTTTATTGTTTCTTTTTGAATTTCTTGATCCATATTTTATCATTTGTGGTTTTTAGATCTTTTCTGGAGTAAATATGGAGAACTGGGCTTCTCTATGACTTTTCCTGTTGCTATTTGGATTAGAAGTCAAGTTCTGTGGTTTGAACCTGGTATCAGAGCACCTGTATGTGAAACCCAATTCTAACCATGGAACCCAAGGAAAATCACTTGGCTTCTGTAGGGTGGTTAATTTTTGAGCTGCTCAGAGGCTTTAAAGGCTCCAGAGTAGAGTAAGACACTACAACCAGACTAGGAGAATGTGCTGTGAGGTGCAAAGTGCCCTCCCTTCAGCAGCTTCTAATACGCAGTGAAATGGGACAGGCACACAGTGCATTGATACAGTGGCAGAAATAGAGACAATCCAAGAGGCATGTGTAGGCAAACCTAGAAACACCTGCACAGAGTTGTACAGAAACACCTGTACCAAGGACTCCCAACAAAGCAAACTAAATATCAGTCTGTGTTCTAGAATTCTTCCACACTGAAGCAGAAGTTTGAAAGCATTTGTACTGATGATATGCACTGAAATTGTTGTTTGTCCTTCATTCTTGAAGAGATCCATAACCTCAGGGAGGTGGTGCAGTGACACACAAGTGAATTAGATTTAAATGAGCTGTGCAAAGTCACCAGCCTCACTTTCTTCTCCAGAGCCATCTGGCTCCAGTGACAAGATTTAAATCAAGATGACTGGAGATGGCCCCAGATGCAGTGGGAGACCTTGGCTTTTTTAGGCTAACATCTTTAAAATGCACTGAAATAGACATGGTAGGAAGCGGGTACCACTGGAGAATTATAATTTGTATTTCTGGATTGACAGAGGACTTTCCTGTGAGTTCGTAGCTTAAAGAAAAGCCAATAAAATGGCCAATCCTGTGAACAGTAGGGCATAGTGTTTGGAGAACAAATTTCCCAACTCAGGTGCCCAAGTCATGGTCGACAAAAAATTCACAAAGGCCAGAGGTGTCAGACAATCTGTCTGAGAGATCCTCCAGTTCAAGTGCTGCCTTGTTTTGTCATAATACTCTGCTCTGTCCAGGGGGATCTGCTCCATCCTTGGCCTGTGATTGTCTCCTCCTTGGGATAGGTCATTACTCTTAATGGGAATACACTCTATTTCTCTTTACCAGTTTAGGCTTTTCTCCTTCAAAAGCAGGTTAAAGCCCCTCCCCTTCTCCACTATCTACCTCCTCCAGGAAACCTTCTCAGGTGAACTCTTCCTTGCTCCTTCGCTTTGCCTAACTGCCCCAATTTGTATGTACTTATAGAATAGTAATACTGAAAGATCATATAGCCCAATAATTTCATTTTATAGATGAGGAAACTGAAGCCCAGAGAGGAAAAGTGTTTTGTCCAAGATCACACAGTAAGTTATTGGCTACACTTCCGTGGCATATGGCTTTGTAAGTATTCTCAAAGTCTTTGCTTCATATTGTCTCTCCTCAGCTTGACTATAAGCCCCATCTGGGATTAGGGCAGGGTCTTTCCCATATTCTCAGGATAGGCCTCTCTTTGTTGTTGTTTTGTCATTTTTTTTCAGGCATGTCAGATTCTTTGTGACCCCATTTGGGGTTGTCTTGGCAAAGATATTGGAGTGGTTTGCCTTTTCCTTTACCAGCTCATTTTACAGATGAGGAAACTGAGGCAAACAGGGTTAAATGACTTGCCCAGAGTCACACAGTTAGTAAGTGTCTGAGGCCAGATTTAAACTCAGAAAGATGAGTCTTCCTGACTTCAGGCCCGACACTCTATCCACTGTGCCACCTAGCTACCTAGGGCTCTCTAGGCATTGTGTAATTGAGAGGTGTCTGATTTATTAGATAACTGTCTAGTTCCTGCTTTGCATTTCCATAAAGAATCCCCAAACGAGAAAGACAAAGTACTTCTTGTAGTCAGCTTAGCAAGTTTATTGGAAACACCAGAAAACATGAAGAGCAACACATATGTGTATAGAAATAACTTCCTTCCCTTTTCTTCTCCCTTCACTTCTTGACAGATACATTCTAGATGCCAGAAAGCAGCTAGAGGTCTCTAACCATTGCTGAGCAGAGAAATAAAGCGTCATCCAGAGAAATCTCTTGACTTCCCACCAATCAGATGGTCTCATTTCGGCAAGGACCTTCCCTCCACCGTCCTGAGAAGCCATCCTTCCCAGGAATTTATCGATAAGCACAGCCCTAAACAGAACTAAGTTGTAGAGTTTAGGTCCTACAATGTCAGACAAACAACCCAGCAAGAAAAATATGGCATCTAGCAGCCAGCTTTCATACACACAGTGGACAGACACAGCTCCTGAGATAATCACCTGGGGATATATAACCCCAATCCTCCAAGCCAAGGGGCTCTCTTTGAGGGAGATACCAGGTCCAAAGGAATCTAGGATAGCAGAGACTTACAAATCCAGGAAAGAGGGTCAAAATAATTTCCTTTTTGCCTAAGAGAAAGAAAAGAAGCAAGGGGAGTGTGGACAAGAGAAACTTGTGTTAAGTACAAACAATTGTCTTCAAATAGAGAGAAGCAGAGACAGGGATTACTAAAAATGAATGCCAAAAATCATAGGCTTAAAGATTTTGAGTGAGAAGGGTCATCTGGATGAGATAACTAGAGGTCTTTAAGTCCAAACTCCACATTTAGTAGAGGAGAGAACTGAAATTCAAAGAAATACAGGGTTTTAGCTGAGATTACATGGCTAGGTGGTTGAGTCAGCATTCAGACCCAAGTTCTCTGAGTTTGCAGTCAGCTACTGCTCCCCTGTGCTACCACCCTGTCTCCTTCTCTGTTTCTTTGGCTTTGAAAGACCCTGTACATATTGGTTGGCAGCAGATTTACCTTCCCAAAGCTATGTGTCATGGGTGCATTAATTTGAATTTTCCTTCCTGAATACACACCGATAGGAGCTGCCGCCAGGGCTCACGGGGAGAGCCAGCCTGGGACAAACTGTGGCTCCAGAGAATTCACAAGACAGATAGCTCCTCTAGAGAAGGGAGAATTTGGGAATTAATTTAGGGGCATCTCATCCACAAAGTCCATAGTTAGGCATTTCTGGGGCCCAGCGTAGGACTCCTAAAGGTGCTTCTTCCTCTCTCTCGGGCAACGGCGGATCTCGGTTTCTTCCGTCAGTAATTGTTGCGGTGGTATGAGGTAGTGGAGACAAAGTGGACTGCGGAGCTCCGACCGCTCCGGCTACCGCTGCCGCTGCTGCTGCTGAAACCCTCCTTGGGGAGACAGGGATTGCAGGGGGCGCAGGCCTCACCAGCGATCACGGTGCTCCCTCCGCTGGTCACTGCCACATCGCCGCCTCTGGCAGAGATCCTAGATCCCTGGCTCAGGCCTGTGCTGCAGGAGCTGCCAGAACGCCAGGCACCCCCGGAACTCAGGAGCCCACTGCTGCTGGAACAGACGTTGCTACCCCCAGAGAAGCCAGGCCCGCCTCGGGCATAGGACAAACCGGAGACAAAGGCTTCTGAGCCACATATCACACCACCCCTGGAACTGCTCACAGCTGGAGAAGGAAAGGAGTCATCAGAGAGGAGCCTGAGGGAAATGACAACTTCTAGGACACTAGGCTACTTCCCAGCCCCATACATATGGACAACGTACATGTACCAGACCAAAGTGTGTGCTACACCCCACATGCCCACACAGACTCACTCCCCCAAGGCCTACTCTAGTCAGGGTAGGCTGGGAATCATATGACAAATTCTATTGTTTACTCAGCCCATAATCATTTTCTTCCCCAACTAGATGATTCAGGCCAGGTCTACTACAAGAACAAAAATCCAGATAAAAATTGGAAAAAGTGGGGCACCTAGGTGGTGTGGTGGATGGCTGGAGTCAGGAGGACCTGACTTCAAATCTGACCTCAGACACTTGACATTTACTAGCTGTGTGACCGTGGACAAGTCACTTAACCCTGAATGTCTCTCTGAAAAAAAGAAAAGAAAAGAAAAAAAACTAGGAAAAATAAATCCCTGCTGTTTCCAAATATTCAGGCACTTGGAGTTATTTCTGTTTAGCCCAAAGCAAAGTGTGTAAGAGGTTTGAGGAGTGAGGTTCTGAATTATACAGATTATAGCAGCAGTGTAGACATAGGTTTTTTTAGCTAGCCCACGTCACTCTGGGTTTTGAGACCAATGATACTCATGAGTCTTTTCAGATATTCATAGTATCAGTAATTCCTATTTGTTGGTGGTCAATCATGTCTGACTCTTTGGGTCCCCATTTGGGGTTTTCTTGGTAAAAGTATTGGTTTGCCATTTCCTTCTCCAGCTCATTTTATGGATAAGGAAACTGAGGCAAACAAGGTTGAGTGACTTGCCCAGGGTCACACAGCTAGTGAGTGTCTAAATCCAAATTTGAACTCATGAAGATGATTCTTCCTGACTCCAGGCCCAGAACGCCTACCCACTTACACCACCTAGCTGCCTAATAATTCCTATGCACAGCCCTTAAAGAATACGTCACAAGCTCCTCTTACTTGTCCAAGGTCACGCTGCAAGGTATTGGTTGGGAAGCATATGGTTCAATAAGTATTCTCAAAGTATCCTCTCTCCCACCTTGAGTATAAACCCCTTCCAGGCCAGGGGAGGGTCTTCATCCCCACATTACCAGGATAGTGCTGTGCCACTAAACACCTGTTCAACATTCTATAACATATCAAGGGTGGGGATACACCCTTGATATACCTTCCCCTTTCTACCATGCTCATCTGAATTCTTTCCAGTCTTCAAGTCCAAGTTTGATTTTCCCTTTTCCCCATGAAGCCCCCGCCTTGACCTCTCCAGGACCCCTCAAAGATGTCCCGTTGTGGACTCATGTAGCATGTATTCTTTGTATTGGTCACAACATAACAAAACCTGCCAGAGGGCCTTTGTGGCAACAGTGACAAACACTTGACAAATGGATGGGATAATGGGCCAACGTACTGGTTCTCAAGCATTTCTTTGGCTATGTCCAGTATTCTTTGACCTGAGGAATCACAGTGCACTGCATATTTAAATTGACAACAAAGAGTTCCTAGATGGCTCTTATTGAGGAAGGTTAGATTTCAACTCAGCCTTCCCCTCCAGCCAGCCACCAAGGGGTGAGCAGACCTACTTGCCCATGGATTTCCAATCATTCTTCAGGGTTTTGCCCACGGAAGGTAAGGTCTGTGACTTGTTAGAATGGGTTAACTATTTTTTAACCCTTCAAATGCTTTCCACAAAGGCTTGAAGACCCCTAGCCAGGTACTTAGCTCATCCTGCACTCACCTCAGCCTTGGCAAGTTACTGACCCAAATGTGATTTTGAGCAAAAACACAGCAACTACCCTCACCAAGCCCACTCCTATGCCACTCTTTCCCCCTACTCCCCAGGGAAAAAAAGACAATTTTCTTACATATGTTCACTGGTCCAACACCTTCACAGATCCTAAGGGGAGAGAGACGAAAAAAAGATAAGTCAAGTAGAAGAGACAGTGTCAATTTGAAAAAGTACTGAGCTGAGACTCAGGAGATTGAATTCTAATCTTGACCCGGATGCTAGTGAGCTGGGTGACCTTGGGCAGATCACTGCCCTTCTCTGGGCCTCAGTTTTCTCATCTACAAAATGACGGAGTTCTACTAGGTGATTTCTCAGGTTCCTAGGACATCTATGAGTTGACAATTCTGTTAATATTACTATCACTCTAGAAATCGCCAACTTTGATCCAAGGGGACATTCCCCAAATGGATTTCATGGCGTATTGATTTAAGAGGACCCTTAAAAGTAGGATAGCTGTAGAATTTTAGAGTTGGAAGGAATCCTCAAGCTCTACCAATGCAACTAACTCCCTCATTTCACATTTAACAGATGAAGAAAATATATTTCACAGAGGGGCAATGACCTGTCTATGGTCACAAAACTAATTAGTCACCTCCACGAATCAAAAACATTCTTCCCTACTGAAGTAGTCTACTTGTCCCTTTCTGAAGAGGTAATTTGTTTCCTAGGTCCCTTATTAATGGTCCTTTTCTCTGCCCACTGCTTCACTCCTTCCAGAAAGTTAGTCTTTCCCAAGATCTAACCTCAGTTCTTCTCCCGTACTAAAGTTGCTCACCTGTTCTCTTCACCTTCTAGGAGTTTCCTGTAGGCAGTGATCTCAACATCCAAGGCCAGTTTGACATTCATCAGCTCCTGGTACTCACGCAGCTGACGGGCCATGTCCTGCTTGGCTCGCTGCAAAGCCCCCTCCAGTTCAGCCAGCTTGACCTTGGCATCATTGAGAGCCGCCTCTCCCTGCTGCTCGGCCTCGGCAACAGCAGCCTCCAATTTGGCACGCTGTGGGTTGCAAATTGCAAGGGAGCATTTATTTGTCCTAATCCTTGGGCAGAGTCAAATAGCCTCCCAAAGATGTTGGGGACATGTTGGTGCACTGAGTCACTGGGGTGCAATTCCCCAAGTGAGGCTTACAAAAATCCATGGTCTCTGGAAGGATGTTGCTAAGGGATGCAGTTAATCCCTTCTTCAGTTGACCCCTCCTCGTCTCACCCCTCTCAAGCCCAGCACTGTGTCTCTGCCAGCTGGGATTGTCTGTCCTAGCTGCACAACCCAGTTCTCCATCTCCTACACTTCTCATCTTCTGCTACCTCTAAGTCTCATTCATAGTGGCCTTCCTGTCTGGGATGCCTTCCCTTCAACCTTCTCTCCTGGACCATCTCCATCTCCTGCACAAATCAGTCATCAATCAATCATCCAACATTCATCAAACCCCTCCTGTGTGGTAGGTGCTGGAAAAACAAACCGAAAAGGAAAGAAATCTCTATTCTCAAGATATGAATTCTCCTCCCTCCTCCCCACCCTGTTTTTCTCCTCCTATCTCTCCCCTTTCCTGGCCTTCCTAAACCAATCCCCTAGGTCAGTTGTCCCTAGACCCCTTCATCATCCCCATTATTGAAAATACAGAGTCCTAGCTAGCAATCTTTAATTTGATATTTATACAGATACATGCGTATCATTCTGTGTCTGTGACCTGGTGTATGTTGCATCTCTCAGCATCTTGATAGCAGCTCCTAGTGGGCTGGGCAGGGCTGGGTAAGATAGAACAGGACCAGGCAGGGAAAGGCCTGTTTCTTGCTCCCTAAACTTAATCCTCAGTATTCAGCAAGGAAGCATCAGAGACCAGTGAGGGTGGGGCTAATTGGCTCACCTGATTTTAGAAAGTCTACCCTAAAGGGGGAAACCCTTGGGTCTAACCTCCCTCTCCCTTTCCTTAATGATGCTGTACACACCTGTGCCTTGGCATGATCAATCTCAGTCTTCAGCCTCTGGATCAGGCGGTTGAGCTCATTGATCTCATCCCGTGTGCTCCGAAGATTATCAGAGTGCACGCCCGCTGTTACTCGCATTTCCTCATACTATAAGGGCAAAGCCAGATGAAAGGCAGAGGAGTCAAGAGTTGAGTCATTGTCCTCGTGGTGCTTTGCCAGCCTCCCCCTCCCTCACCTCAGTGCCCTCAGAGTCCAGTAGGAACGCGCACAAATAGACGGAAGAGGAGAAGCTGGCAAGATTCCATTTCCCTTAAGCGAATAACAATAATAGCTAGCATTTTATACAGCATCTACCATGTACCAGGAACTGTGCTAAGCCCTTTATAAATTGTGTCTTGTTTGGTCCTCACAACAACTCTGGGAGATAGAGGCTATTATAATCCCCATTTTACAGATGAGGAAACTGAGGCAAATAGAGATTAAGTGACTTGCCCAAGGTTACGTAGCTAGTGAATGACTGAGGCTGGATTTGAACTCAGTCGATGTCTTTTGTACCCCAGCCAGCCACCCACCCTACACACAGCTGAACTAAATTATCTTAGAGTGGCCTTCAATAGTAGCCGAGGGGTAATCAGCTCTAACTTTCCATCCTGGAATTTAATCAATTGCTTCTAAGCTCCTCGGCCTCTCCCCCCCCCACTGCTCAGCCTTCCCCTATGGGGAGGAAAAACAGCTTGTTTTACTGAAATTCAAGCCTTGCTCCTCCCTTCTAAGTGTCCTCTGAAAGTGTGAAGCTTTTCTTTGAGCAGGCAGGAGGACCCTCAAAGGACCAGGCCATGAGAGACACTGTGCTGGGGTTCCAGCTCTGACAGTTACCTCCTGAAAGTGCAAAAAGGTCATGCCCTCCACCCCTTTTATGCAGCACATGGGGAAGTCTTTTGTGAATCTTGGGAGCAACTTGTGTGTTGGGTTGAATGGATCTGACTGATGGGGCAAAACTGTCTTATCTCACTTAACTTTCCTTTTTTTCTCCTTGATTAAGAGTGGACAGTTGGGGCAGCTAGGTGGTGCAGTGGATAGAGCACTGGCCCTGGAGTCAGGAGTTCAAATCCAGCCTCAGACACTTGACGTTAGCTGTGTGACCCTGGGCTTAACCCCAATTGCCTTGCAAAAAAAGAAAAAGTAGACAGTCAGCTAGCTAGATAAATAGTTGCTGAAGCTAGGTGGTACAGTGTATAGAGTACTGAGCCTTGAATCTGGAGGTCCTGAGTTTCAATCCTACTTTAAATACTTTACTAGCTATGTGAACCTGAGCAAATCACATAATTTTTCCCAGTCTTAGTTTTCTCATCTGTAAAATAGGATAATAATAGTACTTTTGTTGTTGTGAGTATCAAATGTGATACCTTAAAGCTCTATATAAATAATAATAATTATTAATTAGTATTACGTATCTTGCACACAAGTTATCCTGATGCCAGACCCACCCCTCTATGATGCCACACTGCCTCTCACAAGACTAGACCACTGAATTCAGAGAACTCAACTAGCTCAGAGGTCCAGCTCTAGGAGGCTGATATCAGGACCCAGAGGTTGCTGGAACAATACATTTTTAATGCAGTAGAGAAGGGAAACACTGTAGGGGACTACTGTAGGGAAGTCTCTGGTCTAGGTTGTATCTATATTCTCTACCCTTCCCTCCATTCATCTCCACCATCCCCTCCTCCAACACAGATGCCCCATGGCTTTTGAGGGGTGATGTTGTTTAGTTCACCTTAGTTTGGTACCAGGCCTCAGCATCAGCCCGGCTTCGCTTGGCAATGTCCTCGTACTGAGCCCTAATTTCAGCAACTATGCCATCCAAGTCCAGGTCCCTGCTGTTGTCCATTTTCACAATAACAGATGTGTCTGAGATGTGGGAATTGAGCAACTTGATCTCCTGCATGAATCAATCATCAATCAATCAACCAACATTTTTCAAATCCCTACTATGTGCCAGGTACAGGAGATACAAACCGAAAATGAAATAAATCTCTATTCTCAAGACAAGAAGTCAGCAATAGGAGCGTAACCAGGGACTACTTTGTTTTTTGACCTGCTACCTTGCTAAGAGGTTGAAAGATGAGATCTCATCAAGAACAAAGAAAATCGAAATCAACTCTTAGTTATCTTCCCTCTCAAAAGGGATAAGAAGTAACCATAGATAATTCAAAAGAGTAGATAATGGCAAAATAGACCATCTGAAAATCTCTTCTATTGGAGTTTAGAATTATTTGGGTAATTTGAGGGGGCCAAGATCTATTTACATTTCTGAATTGTGTAGGCAGAAAGTAAAATCATGTGCCCCCAGTATTCTTAAGTCCACACACCAGCTGAGCAAGAGTAGATGGCCTATGGACATGTTAGAGGGTAGAGAGAAGCTCTTTTCCATTGGAATGTGTTCTGTACATAATCTACCCCTCAATATTTGAGAGCTGGTTACATCTCAAGAAAGAAAAGTCTCCAAACCTTAGGGGAACCACAGAGTATGGAGAGTAGGTGGTAATTCTAGAGGGAATACTCTCTGGGCTCTTCGGTCAGTTCCACCAGCTTGATTTTGATGACGTCTATGCCACATCAGGTAGCTGGTGAAGCCAGAGAAAGCCATTGTCATGGCTTGACATTAGCCCTCTGGTCATGGGAAAATTTTCCAGTTGGCTGCTGAGAAATATAGTTCTAAGACTATAGAAGAGACATTTACCTGTTCATACAGAGCTTTCAGGAATTCGATCTCACTGATCAAGCTTTCCACATTGGTCTCCAGATCAGACTTGTTTAAGTAAGCTGCATCCACATCCTACAAGAAGGAGAGAGGGAAGAAGACCTATGCTCACCAATCCAGAGCTACAGAAGGTGGGGAAACCTGGGACTACAAGGAGGGGAAGATTTGCCAGATAGGAGGCCACCGGGTAGTATTGCAGGAGGTGAGTGTTATGGAAGCCAGAGATGGAGATGGAGCTGGTACTACTACTACTACTACTACTACTACTACTACTACTACTACTACTACTACTACTACTACTACTACTACTACCACTACTACTACTACTACTACTACTACTATTCTCTCCCTAAATGCTCAGAAAATGGCAAGAGGGGACATTTTTTCTAAGATTCAATTTTTGTTTTAATGGCTATGTAAAGACCAGGGTTGATCCTGAAAATCCAGATTTGGAAAGCCAGCTTATCTAATCCCTGCTTCCCCAGGGTTCTAATGTCTGGGTAAGGGGGCTCTGGGATCCATCTTGAGGGTACTTGGGTAATGGTTCAGTGTGTAAAACATTTGCCTGTTTTGCTGAGAGTTGTCGCACACCTGCAGCTCTAACTTACCTTCTTCAGGGCCACAAACTCATTCTCTGCATTGGCCCGGAATACTACTTCCTCTTCATACCTGGGTTGGCAAGCACAAGGAAACTGAGTTACTCATGCTGGACCCAACCAGGGCCAGTTGCTCATGATTTTCTAGAACTACCCTTTTGGTCCAGCTAGGTAATGCTCCTTTCTGTCCCCTACCCACACTTCACTCATATCAGCTACAAGCCCTATCACAATTTATGCCTTTGTCTTGAGACACTGTCTCTCCATCTCTTCTTCCCCTAGCACTGTCCCTTTCTCTTTTGTCAACTTTGCTCCACGCTCTATTTTTCCAGGAAGCCTTCCCTGATTGACGATATCCAGGATTAAATGCTCTTTAAATCCATCTCCCCCCCCCCCCACACACACCAGTGCTGGTTGCTCAATTTGCATTAAATTCATTTGCACAATCAAGTTGCCTGGACTTCCAGTCCTGACTCACCTCCCCCCTTCATATTAAACTGAGAGAACTCCTTGAGAGAGGAGACCATGTCTCCTTTCTCTATTCCTTCTATTCTTTCACTTCCCCTAAATACCCAAGACAGGACTCTGTACTCTGGAGGAAAATAGTGATGTAAAGTATGGCAACCTATCACAAATTAAAAAACAACATTTCTGAGGCTGTTTTCAACCAGCAATGATAGCCTCGGAGAGTGGATTTGGAGTTAAAGGACAAGTTCTCATACATCAGCTTGGCCACTTGGTAGCTTTGTGACGTTATCCTGCCAGGGCCTAACTTTTCTTATCTGTAAAATGAGGGGATTGGAACTGTTGACCTCTAGGGTCCCTTCCAAGTCTAAATCTTTGTTTCTAAGGACTTCTTCAGCTTCAACAGCCAAAGGGGTGGGGGTGGGGGAGGGGGCTCTAAAGCCATTGTTGGGTGGCCTCAAGTTATATATACATACATATACTCATACACACTTTGTATATACAAAGTTTCCCTCCAAATTCCTTTTATTTTATCAAAGCAGAGTTTGGAGTCTAAAAGCTATCTAGAAGACTGGCTAACTTTTCTGTTTCTTGATTTGAGACATCACTTTGAAGCACTGGGTCACAAAGTACCCAATGTTGGGTTGAATCCACTCATTGTTTTTCCAAGAACCAAGTTTCGGAAAGGTCTCCTCAATCAGATTCCTACGATCTCACAATACTCGGTGTGAAAGGAAACTTGAGAGACCAACTCCTCAAGCAGACCTGTGCTCTCACCCCACCAGTAGCAGAGCATCCCGCACCACCTTTTTTCCCTGCTAGGATCCACAGACAGCATCCCTCCTCACTCCCCTTGGAAACGGTTTCCCTTTCAGGACATCCTCCACAGCCTCTCCCCCCAGCCCCTCTGTCAGAGACTTCCCACTCAGGGTCTCTAGGCCCCTTTCACACTCACTTCTTCTTGAAGCCCTCCAGGACATCCTGCATGTGGTTCCTTTCGGCTTCCAACCGGGCCCGGTCCCCAGCGACCACATCCAGCTGCCGTCTGAGGCTATTGATGTAGTTCTCAAAGAGTGGCTCCAGGTTGCTCCTGACACATTTCTGGTCTTGGAGGAAGTTCCACTTAGTTTCTAGGAGCTTGTTTTGCTGTTCCAGGAACCGAACCTAAACCCCACCAGGCAGAGGAACAAGAGCTGGGATGGCCTCACCTCTTTGTCTCAGTTGGCCATGATACATTTTTGCTTTCAGCTTTTTGCTGGCATTGCTACCTCTTTAGCTCATTTTTACTACCCCCCACCCCAGCCCAACAGGAGATGGGAGAACATTGCTTCCTTATAACTAAGCTCAGTTGAAAAGAAAGGCCCTACAACTCAGACATTTAAGAATCACCTTCTTAAAATTTTTTTTTTTAAATCACCTTCTTTGGAAAGACCAGCCAGCCAGGAGCTTAAAGAGAAAGGGGCCAATGGTGGTGATGACTCTACTTGGGCTCTTTGACATTGGACTAGAAAGTAACGGGACCCTTCCCCAGAATAAAATAGGGATCCACATAAAGTAGAATCAGTATGACAACTTTCTGGAAGTTCAAAAACACCCCAGGGTCATGTAGAGATGAATCAGAGGATTATCTGATACTGAAGGCTACCCTGGACCCTGAACCTACTCTCTGCCATGAGCAGGGACAGTTCTAAGTTGACTGCACTTGCCCATGAATATATTTAATCTACTAGGCACATTCTCACCCAGAAATCCAGGTTGAATCTACACTTCCCCAAGTGAAACAAAGCTGTAGCTTCTTTCTTTTTCATTGGTCCAAAGTGACTTTTATTCAGGCCACAAAGAACAAGTTTTCATTTGTTTGTATTTCTTCTGAATGATCTGATTTGGCCACTTAGATGACTCTAACCTGGGTGATGTTGGGCAAATCAATTAACCTCCGTGGGCCTCAGTTTCCTCATCTCTAAAATAAGAGGGTTGTATAAGATGGCCTCTTCCAACTCTATAGTTATGACCTTATAAGAAGGTTGTCTATATTCCTCTTTGGGGAAGGGGAAGTAGAGACTACTACTACTCCTGTAGTAAGGAGGAAGTTCGATATAATGATCTGGGTCATTCAGACCCAGAAAGACTTCCTCCAAATCTAGAGCACTGAGTTAAAGCTAGAGTTTGTGGACTGAATTATTTAAACCTATACCTCAGTCCTTTGCTTCCCTCTATGCATACAAGCATAGCCCTAGCTTCAGAAAAACAAGGAATCCTCAATGACATCCATAGAACTAAGAAGACAGAGAATGCCCCAGGTCATTCTGTGAGCCTGAGGCAGTGAAGTTTCCCCCAGATCCCCAAGGTCCTTTGGGTCTTGCCATACAAATGAGGATGGACAGGTGGGGAGCAGGAGGTAAGAGCCAAGGGCCAGATGTCTCTTTGGAGGTGGCCACCCCATGCACCTCAAATCACCCGTGCCAATTTTCTGCTTTTCAGATATAAGTGTGGCCAGCAACAAACCTCTCCAGCTTTAAGTAGCTTTACACAAGAAAAAGATCTAATCAGTGATCAAGTTACTGCCCATACCCAGCTGATGGGCCATATGTTGCCTAAATATTCTCCTATTTGACTGACTTCTCCAGTTTTTCTCTGGATGTTTGATTGTCTGCCTGATACCTTGTTCAACTAAGAGTATATTCATTCCATCTGTATCCTATGCTAAAGAAGATTGACCCTGAAAACATACAAAAGGAGCTTCCGAAGCAGATGTGGAGAATACAAGTGATTTGGCCAACACTCCAGCCTCTTGAAGGAGAGAGAAAATTCACATTCATTTGGTAATCCTGGCCCCAGAGAATCAGCTGGACAGATATGTAGATACCTTGTCAATGAACGAAGCAAACTTGTTATTTAGAGTCTTGATCTGCTCCTTCTCATCCTTCTTCACCCTCTGAACATTGGGGTCAATCTCCAGGTTGAGAGGTGTCAGTAGGCTTGTGTTGACAGTCACAGCTGTGATGGAAGAGGCAGCTGGGCCTCCAATTCCACCTACTCTGTACCCAAAACCAGGTCTGCCAAACCCATAGCCAAGACTGCCACTGGGCCCCAAGCCAATGCTACTTCCAGCTCCAAAGCCAATGCCGCTACCAGCCCCAAAGCAGGACCCACTGTTAGGTCCAAATCCAAAGCCAATGCCACTGCCAATCCCGAAACCAAGCCTGCCACCAGATCTAAAGCCAATCCCAGAGTGGATGGGGTAAGAGCTCACTGCCACCCTTCGGGGTGAGTAGGATCCAAAATTGCACAGACTCCGGCTCCCAAAACCACCCAAGCCCCGGAAGCTGACACCACTTCGGCAGGAGACAGAGTTGGCCTGGTAATGGTTCAGATGCTGGGGTACCACTGCTGAGCAGGAGCTGAAGTGGCCAATGCGGCGGCCAGAGCTAGCCCGAAAAGAGTGACAGGACATGGTGGCTTCTAAGTTGGAAGCAGAGAGTGACCAAGGAGCAATGGATCCAACTGGTGCTAGAAGTCCCTCTGGAGCTAGTGGGGCCTGCTCAACCCTTTTATGCATTTGAGGATGTCAGGTTTGGCCCCATAAAAACAGGAAAAAAAAGCCATTTGGTGGCTTTTATGAGCTTGGGTTGTTAGCAGAAACTCTTCATGCCTATAACCTCTTTAACAGTGAGCTAATCAGAGGCACACCTATTCCCATCTTCATTATGGCCTATAACATCAAACTCATAAACATTAAGAACACATAAACATTACAATCCTATTTTCTCCATAAGTCTACCACAATTGCCCATATGAGGACATTAATGGGCTATAGTTATAAAACCAATAGGGTTGTTTTCTGTGAGTGTGGCTAACCACCGAAAAGTTAGAATGGTAACTGATTTGAGCAAGAGGAAAGAAATAGAAGTATCTATAGTCATGGCCTGATGAGAAAAAATGGGGGTGGGGAGATGAGGACAGATAGTAAGGAAAGGTAGAGTCTATATACCCCCAAGGGAAAGAGAGATGTGCTACCAGTTCGCATTAATGCATCTCTAGGGAGCAGATCAATTATTCATTCAAATCTTAAAAGGATCTTTTGGATGGTCGAGTTTGGGGAAAATGGAAATTAGTTACCCTCAGTGAACCCTTTTGATTGTCTCCATATATTCAGTGAGCTTGATTACTGACAAATCTCTAGGTCACTTAGGTCAGTGTTGATACATTCCAGATGTGAGACACTCAACAGATATTCATTCATTCATTCATTCCCCCACCCTCGTAGCTCAACAAGTGCCTGCTATATGTGAGCCATCATACTGGGCATTGTGGGGGATCCAAAGCTCATATGATGCCTATTTTTGGTGAGCTTACAGTCTAGTTGGGGAAAGGATTTCTTTTGGGAACCTCTATTGGTGTCATCAACATGGCAGAAAGTAAAGGGGAGATATCAGGTAACAATGAAATTCTTAGATCTACGAAGACCATACAATTCTGTCCTTTTCTCTCTTCCCCTCATACCTCTCCTCTACAGCTTTTTGGATCCTCAATTATTAGCTTATCTACAAGGATTGTTTGAACTAGAGAGGGTAGAAGCCCAGAAACACTTGGTTGGAAAGTAGAATACTCAATCATACAGATGTTTCCAAACTTAAAGATGTTTAGCATCATGTTAAATAAACATCTGGATGACTGACTTATTTTTTTTTTTGCTTTCTGTTCTGGTGACATGAAGATGCAGTGTTATTTTCTTTTCACTGAAATCAATTCAATTCGACAATCATTTATTGAAAATATAACTCTACGTGAGGTATTGTAAAGCTGTTGTTTTGATTTATAAATTATTCAGATCCAGGAATTTATTATCATGAATACATACCAGCTACATGTGTAAGTGGAAGAGGGACAAGTAGAGAAAGAAGGAAATGATAAAAAAAAAAATGGAAGGGCAGGAGAAAGAAGAGTAAGGGGAAAAGAAAAAGCTTGGGAAAAATAGGCAGAGAGAAAGAATCCAGGGACCTAGCTAGACTTGTAGACTCTATGTGCTTCTGGAATGATAGAACTTAGAAGTAAGGGCACCTCAGGGATTTAATTCCAATCTTCTTGTATAAATAGATGAAATAAGGAACGGAAGGTAGTGCTGGTAATGGGAGAACTAGGATAGTCAGAAACCTAGGAGACATCTGTATTCTTTATACTTGATTGGGGGAAGATCATAAGGCTGGGCCACCTGGGAAAGGGCTGAGGGGAAAGGCAGACATGCCTCACTTGCATTCTCTGGAAGAAAGTCAGAGATCATTCAGAGAACTCAATTTCTTTGGGGATTATGCAGTTCTTGGGTAATGGGGTGAGCGGTGGAAATTATGAAGACCATTATTTATGTGTATGAGAGGTATAGTGGATAGAGAGATCATCTTGGAGCCAAGAAGACTGGAGCTGAAGATTTACTTCTGACCCATACTGGTCATTTCATCCTGGGCAAGTTAAAACCTCTCTAAGAAACTCTGAAATAGTAAATTACATGAAGGTGCTGACTTACATTGGTAGAGGAAGTTTCCTTCTCTGGGGGCTCCCAATAAAAAATGAAATCAAAGTTCAGTCCCTGTCTATGCCTGAATCTCTACACATTTGAGGCTACCCTCAAAGGTGAGGGAGAGGAGTGTGGTGACAGATCTGCCTTTTTTCCTTCCTTCCTTCCTTCCTTCCTTCCTTCCTTCCTTCCTTCCTTCCTTCCTTCCTTCCTTCCTTCCTTCCTTCCTTCCTTCCTTCCTTCCTTCCTTCCTTCCTTCCTTCCTTCCTTCCTTCCTTCCTTCCTTCCTTCTCTCTCTCTCTGTCTCCCCAATCTTTCACTTTTGGATAAGCCACTCACCCCTCAACTCCTCCCCCCATTACAATGGATTGGACTCCTGCATTTTCAGGACCCACAGTCCTCTTGTTCTACAAGGGCCATCTCTGTATATTTGTTACAGTTTTTGTCCCACCCTGAGTTCCTTCACTAGTTTGAAGGAGGGAAGAGAAATAATTGGGATCCAGTCAAGCAAATCCCACCTCCCACCTCCTGATGAGCTGTCCCAAGCAATAATTTATGGATCTGAGACATCATTTCTCCCAACTTTGCATAACACAATCATCTGCCACTTCAGTAGGGGGGAAGGGACAGTACTGATTTTGCTGCTGTGACAATTTCTTCTGTTGTCAGCCTTTAATCCCACATATCTGATGGTAGGAGCCTAGCCCCAGCAGCTGACAGGAATTACCGTGAAGTGATTGACTGCTGGTTCATCAAGATGCTATCTCAAGGCTCTTGGGATGATGGTGAAACCTTGATACACAGAAGGGGAGATGGAGGAGTGGCCCCACGGAAGCAGAAGGTGGAGGCAGATGCAGGTGGGTGGAGGAGGAAACCAGGCTCTTCTCTGGTTGGATTCCCAGTGGCTGGGGATAGTCCTGTAGTAAGTGGCTGAGGAGGAGGATGTGGAAAAGTTGCAATAGCAGAAATGCCTTTCATTTGACAAGGCACTCATTTCTGCTGAATGGATGGAAGTTGATCTGGTGAGGCTTACCTGTTCTGACTTGCCTGGGCTTGTTTGTAAAGGAAGCTTTGTACTCTCCACCTGGGAAAGACCTTCAGAGGTCAAAGAGGACACCACTCAGCCTGGACATCACCTGGGACTGACTACTAGACTCTTGAGAATTTCTCCTGAATTTAAAGATTGGTGTGTGTAGGAGAGCATCCCTAATTCTGTCTGTGTATGCTTGGCTTCTATTCTTCATTGCCTCCCAGCTCCATACCATACCTCTAGCTGTACCCCCCCCCAGTGCCTCCTTACACACTCTGTCCCTCTCCCCTAATGGTCCTTGACCTTACCCTGGTATCTGTATCACTGTTTCCCAACCTTTATTTCTCCTACCTATCTGTTACTTAGAAGCTTCCCTCCCCCACCTATCAAAATGCCCATTCAATTTCATTTCAATCTCTTATATAAATAAACACAAACAAAACAAAAACCATTTTTTCTTCCTTCCTGAGTCATAATGGAGACTAGATCCTGCCCCGCCCTCCACCCAGTCAGTGCCCTCTCACTTTTAATTATCTTTATTTTAGAAAGGGTGTGTGTATGTCTTTATTCTGAGTCTCTTGGGGACGGACGCCAGGCTCCCAGTCTCAAAGTCCTTAGCTTCACATTGAAGTGCTTCAAAACCTGGCCCCTTCCATAGCTTGCCAGTTTTAACACTTCATTCTCTTCTACTCATTCTAAGATCCAGCTATACTAATCTACTTGCTGTTCTTTGCACATAAGGAAACTACTTATTTAGTAAGATTATCATCTTACCAGAAGAGTTGGATCATAAAGCTGACATGCCATCTTCCCTGAGTTTCCATCAAATAAATCAATCGTCTGAGGATCATGAGGGGTGAAACTTGCAAAACTGGGATCTGGGTATCAATCTACCATGATGAGGTCATAATGAGGGTTCCATGTTGCATGGGCATGAGGGTTTGGAAGTGGTGATGAGAGAGGGGAATGGGATATCCAATGGGAGGCTGAAAAACAAGTATTTACTATGTACCAGGTATGGTGCTAAGTGCTTTACAATTATCTCATTTCATCCACACGGCAACTTTTACAAGTAGGTATTATTTTTAAACATTCAATAGTCTTTTATTTATTCCAATTACATATAAAGACAATTTTCAACATTCACTTTTTGAAAGATTTTGAATTCCAAATTTTTCTCCTTCCCTCCCCTCCCCCTTCTCCAAGATGGTGAGCAATAGGTTATACTTGTCAATCATGTAAAATATATTTCCACATTAGTCTTATTGTAAAAGAAGAAACAGAACAAAAGGAAAAAAAAACACGGAAAAAAGTGAGAACAGTATGCTTTGATCTGCATTCAGACTCCATGGTTCTTTCTCTGGGTGTGGATAGCATTTTCCATCATGTGTCTTTTGGAATTGCCTTGGATCATTGTATTGCTGAGAAGAACTAAGTCAACCATAGCTGATTATCGCACAGTGTTACTCTTACTGTGTACAATGTTCTCCTGGTTCTGCTCACTTCACTCAGCATCAGTTCATGTAAGAATTTCCAGGTTTTTCTGAAATCCATCTGTTCATCATTTCTTCTAGCACAATAGTATTCAATTGTATGTGAATATGACTTGTTTAGCCATTCCCCCATTGATGGGCATCCCCTCAGTTTGGTGGATACTATTAATATCCCTGCTTTCACAGATAAGGAAAATAAAGCAGACAGAAAGAGGATAAGTGATTTACCCAGAATCACATCAATAACTTCCCATCTCCGTGCCTTTGCAGTGGCTGTTGCCCATGTCTAGAATGTTCTCCCCCTTCACCTCAACCTCTTAGTTTCCCTGCCTCCCTTTGACACATCTCAAGTCCCACCTTCTGCGGGAGGTGTTCCCCAGTCCATCCCAAGTGTCAATGCCTTCTCCTCTAAGATTACC